AATTTCTCTGGTGGTAGGCTGGCTTGGAACGTTGTGGTGTCTAAGACTATGCCCAAGAAACTAGTTTGGGAGAGGGACCAAGCGTTTACTTGGTGACAGAGGAACCCCTAGTGTAGTGAAAAAGGAGCTGTGGTGCTGTGAATACTGCTTGGTGTTTGTGAGCCTGGTTCAATCAACAAAAAAATCATCCAGGTAATGGATAACGGACGGACACCTGATTATGATTAGGAGCAGCCAGCAGAGGGTCTCTGCGAAAATGTCAAAGAGCTTGGGGCTGCTCCTAGACCCGAAAGTGAGCCGGGTAGAGAAAAAATACTTGTCGCTCCATTTAACACTGTATAAGTGCCATAATAAGGGGTGAATGGGTAGCAGTTTAAAGGCGTTGGTAATATCGGTCTTGCTTAACCATGCCTTACTGCTTGCTGTGATAATAGTTTGCATGGCATCGTCAATTTTGGCGTACTACAGTGACAACTCCTCATCGGGCATGAGAGAGTTGATGCTGGGAATGGAAGAAGAATAAGGTGCAGAGAGGTCAGTGATCAAAGTTTTTTATTAGCGTATTTAGTGAATGGCTACCCCGATGGGGTTGGTACGCCATGATGAGAATGGCGAAGACAAGAAAGGGCCGAACATGAAACCAGCATTGGTTTCAGGGGACAGAAGGTGGTCCACCGTAAGCGGGTCATTGGATGCTGATAATAGGTTAGGCATTCGAGTGAATTACTTGCTTAATATATTGGTCTTAAAGGCACAGTACACTTTATTCTTTGTTTTTAGTTACTTGTGATTAGAGCTTTTTCACTATTTTAAGTGCTGCTTATTGTACTATTTTTATCACTATTTATTTATTACCTATTATTCAGTGCCTATTCAAAGAATTCCTCAGTCTCTCTGTCCCCCCACCCCCAAATGTTTCTTCTGATAAATTATGTAGACTCTAATACAATCTCTGGAATGCTCTACCTATTTTTTCTAGGGCCATTGGATACATTTCTTTGTCTTTTATTTTAACTATTACTCTTTTGTGTTTCTCTTCTTTCAATTTCTTAGACATTAGTGTTTCTGGTTTATTGCCCTTTAGATACCACTTGGAATGTAGTGCTCCTAACTGATTGGTTTCCTTATTCATTAATTGGATATTAATCTGTTTTTCTGTTTCTGTATTCTTCCTTGCTATTTGTGTGGAAGTTGCTATTTTATTCTGCCTTCTATATTCGCTTAGTGTTATGTACAGATTATGGAGAGGCGGTAATCCTTTCTTATTTGCCAGGGCTGCCATTTTTATCAAGTGGCCTCTAGCTACGCTCTTATAAGCACACCAGACCATGATATCTGGTGTACTTTTATTTTTATTTTCTGGAAAGAAAAGATTTGTTATATTCTTGATTTCTTCAACATTGTTTTTTTTCATGTAATATAAAATCTTTTAAACGCCTCTCTTTACGGAACATATCAAAGTTATCTTTGTATTCCAACATGATGGGACTGTGATCTGACAATGCTATATCCTGTATCTCTATTCTTTTAACAAGATATAGCATGGTACCGTTACCCAGAATAGGGTCAATTCTGGAGTATGAATTGAATGTTATAGAATAGCTTGTGTAGTCTAAGTCGGAGGGATGAAATGTTCTCCATATATCTCTTAAATTATGGTTATTTAGTAAATTTTGCAATCTGTTTTCAGTTTTTTTTCATGCGTATCCTGTCATTCTGGCTTTTTCTGTCTTTCAAAGGGTCCACTACGCAATTAAAGTCCTCCATAATTAATACCAATCCTTGTTTAAACACTTTTGTGATAAATTTCATTGTAGATTTGTTTGGTGCATAAATGTTAGCTAATGTGAATAATGTATTTATTTTGCAGTTTAAAATATAATGTCCTTCTGGGTCTAATTCTTTATGTTTAATAATTAGGGAGACATTTTTTGCAAACATAAATGCTACGCCTCTTTTTTTTTTTTTCTAGAGCCGCACTGATGATAGTGGGGTATCTTGATGATTTAATTATATTTTTATTGGATCTTGTCCAGTGGGTTTCTTGTAGGGCGCAATATTGTACTAATGTTTTTTGTCAGGAAATCCACAATTATGGACTTTTTACATGGTGTATTAATCCCCCCAGGCATTTATTGAAATCAGCTTAAATCATATTTTCTTGTCTGTTCTCGTAGCTCTCTCTCCAAAAGTTTCCAAAGTTTTGTGAAAAAGTATAAAAACAACTTTATTTGTAGTTACATAAAAATAAGACTGGTTGATCCCAGACAATGGAATCAACCTAACACAAATGTAATGTATGGCAAAAAGAAACAGCCATACAGTATCTTGAGTAATACGAAGCATTACTGAGATATGGGTCCCACGTGTCCTGTGGGAAAAGCCTGCTAAGGGTGTGCGATCCAGGGTGAGCCTACCTTAGGTCATCAGGGATAATAATAATAAAAAACACACATCCTAACTGTAGTGAGAGTAGTGGGGAAAAAAAGAAGCCCTGCACTACAATCTAAAAACCCACACCATTTCAACTTTTGTTGAATCAGTCACTATATAAATGTGGTAACTCACTATTATTATTATTCTTCTTCGTGCAAGAAAACTTGTGTTAAACTTAATCCTAACCCTCTTATTTATATGTATTTGGGGCCTCGCTATTTGTTAGCTAGTGGTTGGAGCTACTTCAAATTTTGTTGTTAATTAATCAACTTTTTAAATCCTCTGCACAATTAATGGGAGTGATCTTCCCTTCATGTGATATAGTAATTTTTGTGGGAAAACCCCATCGATAATTGACATTGTTCTGTTTTAGAATTAGTAAGGTCTTCCTCCTTTGTCTGGTTTGCCATGACAAATCCTGAAATATTTTCAGTGTTTTGTATTCCTCTGCGCAATTATTACTTCTTATGGCTCTTAAAATTTGCATCCTAATTTTAGAGGCACAGTATATCTCTTGGGATTATTCACTCTTTGGCATCTTTCCATCATAGGGATTCTGGGGTTCCATTCCACTTTTTAAGATGTTTGAAGAATTCTTATATATATGTTTCTATATTTTTAAGATTTATTTGTTTGGATACTCCTCTAATTCTTAGATTGTTCCGTCTGGACCGGTCCTCTAGGTCTATCAATTTGTACTCTGTCAGCCATCTTCTTATGTTCTTCTTTGTGGATTTTTTCCTTGTGTTCCAGCCCATCTATTTTTTTTTCTTCCATTCCTTTGAATCGTTGGTTAATGGACATGACTGCTGACCCAACCAGTCCCCCAACCAATAAACCCGTTGCCCCCCAAATAATACACGTGACACTTTCTTCTTGTGGATAAGGGCAACGGCCACAGCTTTATTTAACATAATAATTTTTAACTTAGTCCAACTCTGCCAGCTGTTGGGTGTTTCCCAACAGGCAGTTCTCCCAACTTCTATACCATGAGCCTCGACAGCCGGCTCCTCGCCATCAGCTCCGTGCAGGCTGTCGTCTCCCCAAAGCTCCTTTTTTCTTCTGCGCTGTCCAGGGAAACCCGCCAAGCTGTGACAACACAAAACAAGAAAACAAGACACAAACCACAACACCAGAAACAGGGTGGGAAAACAGCCAAGATCCCTCAATGAACCTGCTGACTGGTAAGTCCCCTCCCTCTCCCTCTCCCTTTCCTTAAGAACCACAAATGTATCCATTTTAACCCAGCCCCCAATCTTGGGCAGCAGTCATGCTCCCCCTTCCTTATTCTTCCAGGGGGAAACTGTAATTTCTTCTTAATGTCCTAAGTGTTAACTTGGATTTCTAAATTCAATTTTCCAAATTGTATATCTAGGTGTGCAAGTAGATGGTCATATTCTTTTCTTCCATCCTTTGATTCCTAATCCTCCACAGTTTCTTCTTTATTAGTAACTCCCTATAATGGGTTATTTAAGAGAATAGATTCCTCCAGGTTTAATTTGTTGCCTGGTTTGGTGAGAAGAAGGAATGCGTTTTTCTGTTTGTTTTCAGACTTTTCCCCCCTTTTTGGGGGGTTTGCTGTTTTGTATTTTTTTGGTAGCCATTATCTTTCTCCTTCCTCCCTTCTCTCTTTTTTCTCTCCTCTCCCCCTCTCCAAATCTATTTCACTTTATGGAGATTTTATGCCTTTAACCCCTTAAGGACACGACATGAGTCCTTAGGAGGCCCTCTGTCTCTACAGAATATATACAATTAATTTTAACAAATCATTGGGTACTTAGCTTTGGAGGTAACTCTGGTTCAGCTTCCCAGTATTTGTTTTAGTCCGGTGCAGTAGCTGGCTAAATGTTCTTTCCGGCATGGGGAAATGCTCCCTGCATCTCTCTGCTATTCAGTGCAGCATCGGATCTTCCCCAAGGTAGAACGCTGGAACGCCGGTTAGATTAGGTTGTCTCCCCTGCTCCTGGTGTCGCCTCCCTCGATCGCTCCATAGCCACGTACCAGGAGATCGTAGAGACATGCTCTACGTCATCTTACTCCTGCCCCTCAATGCTGGCCAAAGTTAGAGTTTTAATTTGTTTTTTGTTTTTTTATGAATTTATTTTTTTTACAGGTAAGTCCAGGGCTCCTATTGTACGTCCTCTATCCTTAATGACTGTTTTTTTTTGTCAGCCGTACCTAGTACGTCCACGGTCGTTAAGAGGATATGTATTTAACGTCATTCTAAATGTATTTTGATTTAAATATATGTATATTAATATCAAAATACAGTTAGAACAAATTTAAACCGGTGTATATAAATTTGTTTTCAATTTAATACATTTAAAAAAAAATAATTCCAATTTATTTATTGATTATTTCAATTTTATTATATATATTTAACGTTATTCTAAGTGTATTTTAATATTAATATATATATATATATATATATATATATATATACACTGACCAAAATTATAAACGCAACACACTTTTCTATTTACACTTATTCTAGGTACACAAAAGGCCTATTTCTCTCAATATTGTTCACAAATCTGTCTAAATATGTGATAGTGAGCACTTCTCCTTTGCCAAGATAATCCATCCACCTCACAGGTATGGCATATCAAGATGCTGATTAGACACCATGATTATTGCAAAGGTGTGCCTTAGGCTCGCAACAATAAAAGGCCACTTTAAAATGGGCAGTTTTATCTCACAGCACAATGCCACAGATCTCGCAAGTTTTGAGGGAGCATGCAATTAGCATGCTGACTGCAGGAATGTCCACCAAAGCTGTTGCCCATGAATCGAATGTTCATTTCTCTACCATAAGCCGTCTCCAAAGGCGTTTCAGAGAATTTGGCAGTACATCCAACCGGCCTCACAAACGTGTAACCACACCAGCCCAGGACCTCCACATCCAGCATCTTCATTTCCAAGATCGTCTGAGTGTTGCATTTATAATTTTGTTCAGTGTATCTATATATATATATATATAATTATATAGGTTAATATTAAAATACTCTTTTAATGGGGGCAGAGCCTGGACACAGAGCCATGCAGACGTGTCTGACATGAGCTCCTGCCGAACGGGCCAAAAACGGGGCAAAAGCGGGGGCGATATGGCCCACAGTGTTACCTGGGTGCACCACCCACGTCGGAGGTGCCCTGACGAATCAATTGACACCAGCCCAAGGCCCGTAGTGGCTGGGAGCATGAAGCTTCAAATGTGGCCTACTGGGCCTGGAACCGGGGCAAGGCGACCACTCTCCTTGGAGCCAAGGCCCCCAAGTGACGTACCTACAGCCTACCCCGACAGGCGGGGATATCCCGGTCCCCACTGGAGGAATCGACCGGAGTGGAAAGCGGACAAACTAACCACATGGCAAACAGGGGCAACAGGCCTCCAGGGCAAGGCCAAAATGGCCACTCAGTACAGACCCAAAAAACTAAATGCCAAAGGCAAGCGTACCACGCCACCCCAGGAGACCTTCGACAGGCTCTGCAAGCGCTTCTGAGACGTGCTGCACGTGCTGTAACTTACCACCAAGCAGGAAAAATGGTGGCTGCGTGGATCCGACCAGCTGCATGACGCAGCCATTACAGGCTCATGCCACGTACCTCCAAAGCGGCAGTCCGGCAACGCAGACTCCGGCTGTCCACAAGGCGGGAAAGGGCACCAAGTCCCGCAGGCATGTGTCTCCATTCGCGGCAGCACAAAAGGAAGCATACCACCCCAGCGACACAGGACGAGACCTTGCCGGTCTGGACCCCCAATATGCAGGGCACCCTAATCCGGCTCCCTACAGCCAACGTTGCAAAACCGAAGACCGGAGCAGGCTCCCACGGCGAAGACACCACATCCAGGGGCTCCAAAAGAGTCACTCTCAGCGGCAACATCCAGGCCTTCCCAACACTGGGAGTAGGCTGAAGCACCCACCGTACAACCTCACGAGAGCTATGCTACAGATTGCCGGGTGATGTACTGTATATTTCCATGACTCTGTAATGCCCTATAATAGTTTTGTACGGCTATAGCGCTGCCACGTTTATACGGGACTGAAAGGGTTAAAGTGAACTTTTATCTCTCTTTACCACATAGCCTGGAACACCTCTGGCCATCATGACAGATAACTACCACGAAGTTATCAACTATTGCACACCCCACGATGCTAGGGTTCCCCTGACACCACCAGCAACTACTCGCAAAGCTGCTCTTGTCCTAAACTAGACCCCAGTGGTTTACAATACACAGTTAACCTTAGTACAGCATACTCTTTTCATGCCAAGTCAACCTAGCGATGTTACTTTTGGTTATGCGATCGATTTCGCTACGAGAATCTCTACTGCTTCCTACTTCAATTACTCTTAAACATAAAATATGTGCTAGACTCCTCATATACCTCTTTGTATACTTGTCTTTAATGCGTTGGAGGAATGCCTTTGGGGTACCTCACAACTGTTTGTTATCAGCTTATGCACTACAAAAATAAAGAATTGAAAAAAAAATACACTTTTAATAATGATTTATGTATGTGTATATAAAAGTACTTAGATCATATTTTTATATATATATATATATATATATATATAAATATATATATATGATCTAAGTACTTTTATTTTCTTTTGTAAACTTTTCAAAGATTTTTGCAGGCATTAGGGGGGCTGCCTGAGAGCTCAGACAGGCCCCTTGCAGGCACTGCACAAGCCGGCTATTAAGGCCATCTGATTGTGAGGAGCCCGCGATCACATGGCACGGGAGGGCCGGATCAGGCAGAGGGGATCTGCCTGGGAGCTTAGGATTATGATCGCCGGCGGTGGATCACCAGCCATCAGGTAAGTGCGGATTTACTATCGGACATACCAGGTACGTTTGAGGTCAGTAACGACCATTTTATGTCAGACGTATTTGGTACGTCCGAGGTCGGGAAGGGGTGAAAGCTCATTCCACTAGAGCTATAGCCACTTCATGGGCAGAACGTCCAAATGCTTCTCCAGATGACATTTGTCGAGCTGCTACCTGGTCTTCTTTTCACACATTTAAAAATCACTACAGAATAGACCTCTTTTTGTGCAAGGTGCTCCAAGCCATTGTATCCTGAATTCCCTCCTATATATATATTTTTTGTTTTGGGAACTTGCTATATCTCATCTGAGTACTGCCATCATATGCTAGGAAAAACAAATTTTTACTCACCGCAAATTCTTATTTCCTTAATATGGTGGCAGTACAATATCTATTCGTTTTTTTTGTTTTTTATTACTCAGTTAATTTGCATAGTATGGAGTCCATATTTCTCTTGGTATTAACTGGTTAGTAGTGTACCATGGGGAATATAAAGGGAGAATGGGAGGAATAAAGTTAACTCATTTTAATATTTTACAGGCTACTTGTCCCAGCATATGGAAGTACAACCCATCTGTGTACTGTTACCATATTATGGAAAAAAGAATTTACGGTGAGTAAAAATGTTTTGTTTTCAGAGACATCACAGCAAAATTTGGCAAACCAGTAATAGACCTATTGGCAACAAAAACAAACATAAAAACTTGCAGGTTTGCATACTTGAATACAACAGACAATCCAGACTTCATAGATGCCCTGTGAATTCCTCGGATTCTTTGAAAAATTATTACAGAAAAAGGCAAGGATTCATCGCTATCCTTTCATGGTGGCCAAGGAGAAGCTCCATGGATCGCTTGTTTTATACCTCAAAGGGAGGAGTTTGGGGAGGATCTAACTTTTTATTTTTATTTTTTTTAAACTTTCCTGCCTTTTCCCTCTAGAATAGAGAATATCCATGTTGTAGTGCACTGCATCGAATCCCAAGGAAAAACAAAACAAATTACAGTAAGGAAATGTATGCTTTTGCTTCCTTTATATTTCCTTTCTCTCTTTATTCCTTTCTCAATCACAGCCTTTCCTCTCTATTCAGCTATATGCTTCTTGTATATCAACCTTTTCCCTATCCCTTTAACCCCCCATTTATCTGTCTTTATATATTTTAATATTTTATAGGCTTATTTATTTTAACCTCTTTTGCCTTTCCTAATTGACTCTGAAACTGATTTCATTATCATTTGCTAATTTCATTTGACAAATACTCTCGTAGCCCTTTCTTTACTTTCAGTTTTACATTTGTACTAGACCTCGTGCCTTTCTAAAGCAATACATCTAATCAAGTGAGGCTATAAGAATTCAAACACTCATTTACTAGGTGAGCTAATAATTGGCTAAGAAAGTCCCATTCCCAATTTCCTTCCTAATTTATTAAACTCTTATTTAAATAGTGCGAACCGTCTTTTTTTTTTTTTTTTTATATGTTACAAACAGTGCTCTTTATATTTATGCTGCAAATGTAAGAGAACCAATCACTGCTTTTCTAATACGTTTCTAATACTATGTATCTAATAAAAAAATTTCAAACATTCACATTTATCATTAGGTAAAAATAGTTGGATAGCATAATTTAATTCACAGTCCTCTTTCTAATTTATGAAACTGGTAATTTCTTATTTGAATATTACAGTGATCCTGTAATCCTATCCTAATTCTAATTATTTTTCTCACACATTGTGTCTCAAATTAATAAATTAACAATATACCTCCCTTGATCTCAAAAAAGAAAACTCTACCACAGATAACTGCACATATGATCCTTTTAAAATATCAGATGTTTAAAAGATATTCTGTGGTAATTAGATGCAGGTAGTTTTCTTTGGCTCAAGTTGTGACTTCTCGATATCAGGGTGGGTCCTGACACCATAGGACCTGGTGAGATTAGCAGCAGTGTCTGCTGAACCAGAGGCTCCAATCTTTGCAGAGTATGCAGCTTTCAGAAGTTGTTTGCACGCTAGATGACATATCTCCACCGAACATCGCCGCTGAGCAGGAAACAAAATCGTGGACAATTTGATTCAGTCAAAGAAAGGGAGCAGGAATCAGACCCGAGTGGTCATGATGTAAAAGCAGCAACCATGCATCAAGCCATTCACACCCACAAAGAGTGTGTGCGTGCACTCTTCATGTCATCACGCCCCTCCTAAAGGGACATCCTAAGCACCAAAACTATTCCATCTTAAAGAAATACTATAGGCATCAAAACAACTTTAGCTTAACGAAGCAGTTTTGGTGTTATTTAATGCCAGGAAATCACTTCTGTTTCTTTATGTAGCTCTAGCCACACCTCCCCTGGTTGTTACTGACACAGCCTGCATGACAAAAATTGGTTTAACCCCTTAAGGACCAAACTTCTGTAATAAAAGGGAATCATGACATGTCACACATGTCGTGTCCTTAAGGGGTTAAAATGCAATTAGACATTAACTTGCTTTAGAAGTTATCTCCTGCTCTGTAAATAGAGCTTTTTTATTTTTTCCAATATCTAATTTTTATTGAAAATTAGCATATTAGTACACAGTGAATATACAACATTCATATCACATTACAAATACTACACAGTTTACAGTTGCCTGTGTACAAGTTTTCTTTTCTCTCTCCTGCTCCGGGATTGCAGATAACAATATAGGAAAAAACGTTGCATTTTCAGAATTTACATGCATATATTTTGCACCATACAAATTAGCTGAGATACCACGATCGTACAGTAGGTTGCTCAAATATCCTCCAATAGCACGTGTTGTGTGACTATATTGATCCTGTGTGGTGTCCTGCAAGTTGTCCCCTTTGTACATGGGTACCCTGTTGCGTAACCGGATTATGCAACTAGTTGTCAGTTTGGTAATTAAATCCCAGTTTCAGCATTCCTAGCTAGATGGTGCTAGTTGGTTGGAGTTTGAGAGAGGTAGTGTACCACATTTATGCATCTGTGATCTGCCAATGAGATTAATCGAACTGTAAACGTATATATATTAAAAATAAAAAGAAACGGGTGGAGCTAAACAGACAAAGACAAGGAAAGAAAAAAGACATAACAACAAACCTTTTACGTCCCTTCTGATCTTAGTGTCTTATAAAGCTGTTCACCCTATTTTCAGTGACATGCTATACTGTAGGGATGTGCATGGGAAAAATATTCATTTCGGCATTCCGAAATTCGGAACTTCGGCGATTCGGTTCGGTGCTTTGGGAGTCAGAAAAATTAAATAAACATTTATGTGATTTTTTTTTAGTAGTTTTTTTTAAACAGCAATGTTTTACATTGCTAGTGGACCACAGAAGCACACAGACCACTTAATCTTAAAGAAGGGGTCTGAGTTTAGTTAATAATTACTTAGTAGTGTTAGTTTTTTATATATTATACAGTTTACAAAATGGATGATCTTTTCACTACACAGATAGTACAGTCAATCAGGGAGCACTACCAGCTAGTGCAGCCAATCAGGGAGCACTACCAGCTATTGCAGCCAATCAGGGAGCACTAACAGCATGCACTATTCTGCACACTATATAATTCCACCCTTGTGACACCATATTTGTGGAGAGTTTAGGAGCAGAGAGTAAGCAGAGAGAGACTGAGCGGAGAGAGAGACTGAGCAGAGAGAGAGACACTGATCAGAGTGTGAGAGCAGAGAGAAAGCAATTTGCGTGAACAAGCAAGTGAGAGTGTGTGAGAGAGAGCAAGTGATGTCTAGGGAGAGCAGTGTAGGGTCCCGCAGGGAGAGTGGTGGTAGTGGGATAGTTGTGGCTGGCAGGGAGAGCAGGGTGGGGTAGTTTATTGCAAATTCCCCTTTATTTCCTTTTTAGTCAGTAGACTCTCTTAAATGTAAAAAACATATAAGCACACCATTTATTACTTGTTCCAAAAAGTATTTATTAACTTAACACATTAACAGCAGACAATAATAAATGCAAATATTGTAATGTGTAATTTATTTGTATATACATATATGGTATATTAGTATATGTATTAGTTAATTAAAGGATCACTATAGTGTCAGAAAACAAATCGTGGTGCTGAAGGGGTT